CGGCAGCCACCACAGCAGCCAACCACCTGAGCTGGAGTTGATGGAGGTGACGGAGACGTCCCCAACACCGATCACGCCCACGACAACACAGCCCGCCGCAGCTGGCTGTGTCACGCCACCACCACCAACGCTAGTGGCTGAGAGGCCGGGGACACCTGGGAGGTCCCTGGAACCGCTGCCCCAGGTCCCCAAGGAGATGGCCGCCAAGATCCAGGCCAGGGCAACATCGCAAACCCATCCACCCCTCGCGGGCGAGACCAACCCCCAGGAAGAGGGAACAACAGGACGAGCGACTGGCGCTGACGATGACGACGACGTCGTTTTCGTCCCGACTCCAGCCGTGGCACAGCCGGAGCCAACCCATCAGGGCCAAGCCCCGCCACGACCTCCAACCGGCCCACCACTCACTCCAGCCGCCACGACGCGACCACAAAGGCCACGAGTGACCCAGAGGACGCTCCGACCGGACGGACAGGAGTACTGGGCTTGCCTCACGCCTTTCTTGGGAGGCGTGTGGAAGATGGAGTCTCGCAACCCCGGCTTCGTGAATGCCCTCCAGACCCTGGCGCTGTTGCAGCACCAGTACCCGGCCAACGTGAGGGTTATCGTCCCTCCCCTGCCACGGGTCCCCAGTCATCGCCACCACAGAAAGAGGAAGTCCTCCAGCTCGTCATCTTCCTCCTCGTCATCGGACTCGACCTCGTCCACCGGTTCGTCCTCGTCGAGTTCGACGTCCAGCGAGGAGAGGCACAGGAGGAGCCGACGACATCGCTCCAGGAGGCGGGAACACTCGGGCCAGGGCCGAGACAAACCCAAGGGACACTCCAAAGCCACTCGAGGGGGCGAGATCCCAGACCTACCCCTCGAAACGCCACCAGCCACCCCGGCAGCAGGAACACCGGCAGAGGACGCAGAGGGGGTGCTCGTCCTGCACGCGTCAGACACTGACACCGCAGCTAGCGGTAAGGCAGAGGGCGAGCCATTCTGCCCTCAGTGCGGGTTCCATTTTTTCACAACGCAGACCTGCCCGAGACACGAAGAACCCCCTTCACCTGTCGCCACGGTGCGCCCTGCGGTCAGGAACCCAGAGGAACCCAGAGGACCCCCCCAAGCGAGCCTACCATCAATAGCTCAGGGGAGGCGACCCGAGGTGCCGGCCAGCTCCTGGTACTCCCCTGCCTACGACGTACACCCCTACGAGGCTCACAGCAGGGCGGAGCACCCCCGCTACCCACCAGAAGATCTTCGGGAGGAGTACGCCAGGGGGTACTGGCGGAGCTACGCCCAAGACTGCCCACCCTACTCAGGACCATCTCACTACACGGAGTACCCGGGCATGCAGGACAGACCTCAAGGGAGGGGCAGGGGCAGGTGGGCCCAGTACTGAGAGGCCAGCCAGGGGCTTCATTCCCGCGAGCGGAGATTTGTTTTGTTCATCCCGCTCCGCGGAGGCATTTTTTTCGTTATTTCCCGGGAGCGGAGATTTTTTTTTGTTGTTCATCCCGCTCCGCGGAGGCATTTACCTCGTTCATTCCCGCGAGCGGAGATTTTTTTTTGTTCATTCCCGCTGCGCGGAGGCATTTTTTTTTTCGTTATTTCCCGCGAGCGGAGATACAAATTTTTCGTTGATAATCCCGCTAAGCGGAGGTAGAATTTTTTTTCCGCTCCGCGGAGGCTTTATATATATTTTTTCCCCAGCCATGGGAGGCGTTTTTTTTGTATTTTTCCCGCATAAGCGGAGACAAGGATTGTGTTCAATTTCCCGCTCCGCGGAGGCAATTATTGTGTTCATTTTCCCGCTACGCGGAGGTATTAGTCTTGTTCATTTTCCCGCGAGCGGAGGAAATCCTTTTTTTTTGCTCTACAAATTCCCGCTACGCGGAGGTTTTTGTTTTTTTTTTGCTAGTCTACCACTAGTCGGGCGGGGCGGAAAGTAAGACCCCGCCACAATCATGAAGAGACTTCTTAGTTGATACGGGCGATATGTAAGACCCTCTATACCAACGATTATATTTTTCGTGGGCGGTTGGTAAGTCCCACTAGTACCGTAAGGATAAGACTGACTAGGTAGGCTACCTAAATATTAAAAATCGTTACATTCCCACAATCAGAGTGTGTTTTCCGACCCCGATCTCAGGTCGTGGGTTCGAGTCTCCCGAAACCCTTTTCCAGGATACCACCACCGGAGACCGGCACGCCCAGCCACTGGACCCAGGACTTGGACTACCCTCAAGGAGGACCGAGGAGGCGAGGACGGATACCATCGGTCAAAGGAGGGGGGTGTGACATACACCGTTTTTTTTTGAGAGAGAGAGAGCCGCGCCCAACCCGCGAATCCCACACCAGTGGAGGAAATTGGATAATTAAGTAACCAGTGACATGAAATCACGATTTCGCGATTGTCCCGGACGGACCGGAGGTTACGTTAGGACGGTTTAGAATTTTTAGGATTTTCCCTGCTAATTCCGGAATTAGCAGGAGATTAGGGAATTTTAGGGGAATTTACGGGGGGAAAAATTACATGGGTTATTCCCTGCCGAATCAGCCGGAGCTTAGAGATTTATTAAGGAATGTTTAGGGTTAGCCAAGGGTTTTGGAATTAGCGATTAGGGGAGGACATCGTGTCGGTCCTCAATCTCGTCGCAAAGAGGGATAAAATAGAATAATCATCCGACGTAGACTTGGGGGTTATTCCGTTCGCGAAATCTTCCCGGGATGAACCGTCTGGCTGCGAGTGCCAGCACCTCTAAAAGAGGGATTCGTGAGGAATTTTATTTACGGGTTAGTGTTGGAAGGTCGGTGGGGGTGTTACGACCGACACCTCCCCGAATTGCCGTCTTAGGTTAAGATAATTAGTGTTAAAGTGTCCACGAATCCCCGGGGGAAAACAACCGGGAGAGACTAGCCGCGATAGTTTGTTAGTTTGGGTTAATTATTAAAATTTAGTTCCCCCATTCAAATTTGAATGAGGAGAAATTAGCGCGCTAGGACAATTAGTGCCATCGTGCTTAATCCACCGGAACTAACGTCCCGGTGAGACGTGAGTTCCGCCATTTTTGGCAGTTATCGCCTGGACACCCGAGCCACAGGACGTTTTCCCCAGAGAGTGCCGAAAAGAAAGGAGAGGACAATGGGAGGATCCCACCCGACCCGGAAATCGCGTGGAAAGGTGAGGATAAATTCTCTAAATCATCCCAGTAACACCGGTTACTGGAGATCGCGTATTTAATTCGGTTCGCGAGTGAATTGATCCTGATTTCCCGTCGGCCTCGGTCGACTGGGAAATCTCTGACATCAGTGTTCGGGTTCGCTTTAATAAAAATTAGTTAGTTCTGGAAAAGTTAATACGGTTTCGAAAAGTTATTTTTTTATTTGAACATTTTTGCCCTTTTCCCCGAATCCACCCCTCTCTCCACAACCTAGCATACTGAGCAGCGCAGGTATCCGTTACCTCTCCCTCAACCCCCTTGCTGAATTAGTTATAAGTGCGGGTTAGTGATACGTTTTGCGGTTTTAAATTAGGTTTAGATTTTCGAGTTGCTCGTTTCTCGATCAGAAAAATTAGCTGGCGCCCGGCAACCTTTCTGTAGGTCCCGATTTAAGTTAAGTTGAATATCGGCGAGGAGGCTAGAGGGAGGAAGGGCGAAGGTGATGGGCATTTTCGGTCGATTGGAAAATGTCACGTCACAACCTAAATCCCCCCGAGTAATTATTGAGACCCCCCCCCCTCCCTCTTCTTATTCCAGGTCCCCCTTAAATTATTTAGATTACTGGATTTTGCCTCTAATTTGATTTTTCCGGATATATGGTGTCTTCTCCTGGTCTAATTGCAACGAAAAATGATGACATTGAGTAATGTCATCAAGCAATTGCTCACGAAGATTGGAACCGATAGATTCTACCCTGCGTGCGATTGTTCGCGACGATAGGGAAACTTCGCGGACAAACTTACCAACGCGATCTGCAATTTCTGTTCCTCCAAATAAAATATTAAAAACATCTGTTAAAATTTCTTTAAAATCTTCCCCGTATGAAAATGATCTTTTCTGTTTGATCAAACGATATGCGGTGAGAACCGAGATGTGTGCACTCGTCGTTGCATCATCATTTATCAATGGTTTTTTCGGTGGAACGGTGATTTGACACTGACTTTTTAATGACGTCATTTTATTTTTACGGGACTGTGTGTCAAGGGGAAATTTCGCGTCGAACTCTGAATGGATTAATTTAAAATGTCTACTAATATTGAAGCTTTACAGGTCGCCAAAGTGGTGGGCGCACAATAAACAAATAATCGCGTCGCCGATTTTACTACACGTATATAAATGTTTCCACTCGATTTGATATTTGTCGGACCGCGTGTCTTGTGCTGGACACTCGAAATTGGCAAAAGTGTATGACGTGCAATCATGATTATTTTTCGGTATTTCATCCGCCGTGGCTTTCAAAGACCGGATCTCATTCCGGCGCGCTAATGAATGTAATGGAAAATTTTCGTCATACCCGGCGTGTTGTCCGAAATAGTGCCTTTTGAGATTTGAAGTTTTCAAGAAACGGAACTGCTGCGAACACAATAAACAAATGGCTATCTCACCAAATTTTGAGCACATGTACAGGTGTTCCCACTCGGCGTTAAAATTATCAAGACGTAGCTCCTTCGCGGGGGGTTCCATGTTTTAGCAATAATAAATTAAATTGTAAAGTTTAAACCATACAAGTTTAATTCACAAACTTCACTTTCACAAGTTGAGCGCATGTCGTGCAACTTCAGCAACAAGTAGATTGTTCTTCACTTGCTCAGAACAAACTGATCACAAATTGTTAAAATTTAAGTTTCAATGCAAACGAACCTTGGCTCCTACAACCCCCTCTTTTTCAAATAACAATTTTTATTGCTAAACTAATTACGCCATTGGCTGCAGGAGCCCCAGGGAGTGGGGAGATCGAATCACGACCAGTAAGGGTAGGTAGGTACCCCATTCCTACCTGACCTCACCGCACCCACCCCCTAGCACTCTTATGATGCAGGTATGCACGTGCCAAGGTCTAATTAAAATTCGTTCCAATTTGACATTGCTCGGGTGCATTTTTATTAGTCCAATTCTAATATTTGGATTTCCAAGAAAGCTACTTTCAATATATTATAGTGCATCATAAAATAAGTCCAATTCCAACATTTAGATTTTCAGAAAATCTACCTTTAGTATATGACAGTGCATCATAAAAACCGCTTTTTCCATTGAGCATTACCATTCATCGAAAATATCGGGCATATTTGTCATTTATTATGGGCTGTCTCAGTTCTGTGCATTGCAGGTTTCTTCTCAGAATTCTTAATTTTATATCTCTTTCTTCTTATTCATTTCCTCACCAAGGACTATCACAACCATTGCTCATAATATAATAATTAAATCATAAAATAATTCGTGGACAAATAGTGGTATAAGACTTACACCACTATTCATCCACGAATTGTTTGCTTCATATTATTGGGTACTGTTACCGCTCCAGCTCAGGAATGGACAAGTATTTTATTTCATTTGTTTCATTGCTGCAAATATCGTCTGGAGACAAAATAATTGTCAAGGCAGATTCCTCATCATGAAAACATCGAAAAAATAATTTTTCCTCGTATTGCTGCCTATTTCGAATAAAAAAAATTATATTCATAATTCAAATTGATGGAAAATCAAAATTCCCGCTCGATCGTACGGTGGCCCTCTACCGGTATCGGTCGAACTAGAGTTCAAGCAGAGAGAGATATCGAATTAGAGCAGGTAGTTTTGTTAAGTGGATGAGGCCCCTCTCCCAGCTATGACTAACGAAGCTCGGGAGCCGCGTGAGCCTAATGAGCCCAGGTTGCCGGGCCTTGCTCTAACGCATGGGGTTGCTGTATAACAAGTGGAGGCGTCTTCTCACTTGTTGCTCGTCAATCGGGGACATTCGTAATTGAGTGTCCTCGTCTTCATTCTTTATTCCCGGGGGGGATCGTCAACATGGTGATGGCATCATGGGGGGCCAAAGGTGCGGCAACATTAGTTCATCTTCTACCCAATAGGTCATAATTGGCATCTACAGTTAACTTATATCCAACACCTGGTGGGCCGCGATTGTGAGAATTGCTATTTGCGTTCAAGTGACGACCGAAGACGTTCACACTCATGATGCAAGTGTGAATCATCGAAAATTTACCTATTCTAATATATAATTCCAGCTTAACGAAGTTCCGCTATAATTGATATGATTTCATTATCGTGACTCTCATTACCTGCCCCCTTGTAAAGCTACAAGTAATCGCAAACGTTTCGTTTGGATTTCCCAATAAACATAGTCTACTGTGTAGGGTCGGTGAGCTGTCATGAAAGTAGGTGAAAGCCCCTTGCCTCC